TTTTTTTTTTTTTTTTTTTTTTTTTTTTTTTTTTTAATTCAATCATTAAGTTACATTCCAATGAAAGTTTTAATTTGGTTTAAAATATCATTTTGGTCTATAATTTTTTTCTTACTTTTAATATATTTTAAACTTAAACTTTATTGTTAATTTATTGTAAACTTTTCAATAACTAAAAATAAAAAAAATGTATCCTTTACACTAACAAGGAATAACTTACTATTCATTAAAAAAAAATATAGAGTAAATTAGGATACTATTTTGTTTCTTGCCCAAATAATTTAGAAAGACATTTTGTAATTGTTGTTAATAATAATAATAATAATAATAATGAGTGTGAATCTTTGAAGGAAAAACAACATAATATATATATAACGTAGAAATACTCTTTTAATCTAAATTTAATTTAATTTAATTTGATTGTGTGAATTGGAAGATTGGAGAAAGAAAATGCGGCTGGGCATTATGACCTTTAAAATATTAGGAGGATAAGTAGACGAACGTTTTTAAATGTTTTTTTTTTGTTTTTTGTTTTTTTAATTTGTGTTCGGTGAGAATATTTTAAGTTATCAATCTTCCATCCATTTCAAATAAAGTTTTTATTAGGTATTTCAATATAATAATAAAAATGCCATAAATATAAAGCAAATTCCTAACACGACCCCAAAGAGACGACCATGGCTATTGCTAAAAGATCCGTGAAACTCGGGGGCCCAGTAAAGCTTGCTAAAGCCATGGCTCTACTAAAGGAGGAAATCGTGTTGGCAACAGAAACAGGTATTTGATCAGTATGAGCCATAAACTGAGTAGGGGTAAGAGATCTATGCAACCAAAATTAGACAAAATGATCAAAAAAAAGGAAAATGGAGGAAGAGGGAGATTCAGAGAGCTCAGCTCATATCCATTAACCCAAGACAAGATAGCTACATCACATCCTCGACCAGCTACTTCTTCGTTTCACTTCCTTGCCTCAGAAAAGAAAAAACTTTCAACCTCTATATTATGACTTCAAAGGATTTAAAATTCAACTCTACTGTAGTTTCTACAACATACACCTTCCAATAGTCTGATGTTCCTACTGCCAGCAACGCAGAAACAGACTAGTCAATACACTATTATTGATTGAGTTGAAGTCTCGTTATGATATATATTATAGTCTTGCCTCCTATTTCTCAGCTTCTGTCATTCATTCTTACAACCTAAACTCTGTTATTCGAACAACATTCTGGTGAAAGTAAAATAAACGAAAAGAACCTACAATCCTTAACTCTTGGATGCAGCAAACCAACTACACTACATTCATAAACATCACCGAATCTGTGATAGCAATCGTTAGGGTGACAACAACAGAGACGCGGAGAATAAAAACAAAACTTACATGCTTAACTTTAAAAAGGTTATGTTTTTAACAGTTTCTACTTAATAAAACTAAGCTACAAGAATTGTGCCACCACCACAGAGTTATATGTTCAAACCTTGATCATGGATTGCCTTGATGACAAATGAACTAGTCTTTCTTCTGGGTCCAGATCTTCACAGTTTTATCATTGCCCAGTGCTCCAGAAGCAATCAGGTTCTCGCTGGGGTGACAAGATACTGATATAACTGTGTCAGAGTGACCTTCTAGTTTCTGAACTATTTCCCTGGTCTGCAGTTCCCACAGGTACACACAATTGTCTTCTGAACCACTCACGATATACTTTCCATTTGTCACAGAAAAGGTGGAGGCGATGCAGAATTTCGAGTTAGCATGGCCTGTATAAGTTTTCAGAAATTTTCCAGTAGAGAAGTTCCACAATCTCTGTGATTTAAAACAGAAAAAAAAAAATATAGTATGTAAATAATCAATACTGACGAAATGATAGAAAAATAGAAATAGTGGAGTGTGAAGATCAGCAGTTTGGCTTGCCTGCTATCCTATAGCCCAAAAGAGAAGCTTTTCTAATTATCAAATTGGATTTACATTCATAAACCTTGCCTAGTCGTCTATGCATCAACATATAAGATGCATGATCCCGACATTCAGAGTTAAAATAAAAAGTAACAACAATAAATTCAAACCAAAAGAAACGAAATGTTCTGTATTTACAAGATGTTCAAAATTTGACTTCTGACAAGATGATAACTATCTTCATCAAGAGTTCAAAACTTAAAGTGACCTCAAAAGAAGCCACATAATTGTAAATCAGTTGTTTTTCTAACCCCCACCCACAGGATGCAAGATTATATTTAAATCTATGTAATACTGATATAGATATTCCTAGTTTCCACTTTATCCTTAGACATTAATAATCACTAAAACTTCTGAAAAATCGCCAAACTATATACAGATAGATCAAGCAAAATCAAGCAACAGAAACGCAGAAGCGGCCCATAAGTACCTTCAACCTAAGTCATAGAGCAAAATTCATATAGAAGGTTCACCCACAACCTCTTCGAAGTAAATGTTTGGTGAATATTCTTTTTAAAATACTCTGAGACTTTCAACCTAGATGAAATGTTCCATACGTAATATTTTTAGCATAGGTAATTAACAATAAAAAATTCCAATCGAAAGCCATTCAGATGATGAATAATTTCCAGACCTCTCAATACGAAATCTGAGCATATGAACCTAAAACACCCAATAACCAACCGGCAACCACTCATCCACAAAGCACAAAATATGCGATAAGTAGCACAATACATAAGCCTAAATCAGGAAGAAAAGGATGTAAGAAGATACTTACCAAAGTATTATCTAAAGTCCCAACAAGAATAAATTTCCCATTGGGGGAGAACTTGACGAAAGAAACAGGTGGGTTTTCATCATCAATCAAAGTTTTCACACAATGCCCGGTAGAGGCATCCCAAATTCGGCACAGCCCATCATAGCTACTCGAAACAATCAGCGAGCCATCACGATTGAAATCCACGCCAGTGACAGGATCAGAGTGGGCCGGAAGGACTTTAAGACACTTGCCAGATTTGACGTCCCAAATGCGGACGGTCTCATCGAAGGAGCCAGACACAATCATGTTGGATTGGGGATTGAAGTTGACACAGAACACATAGTTAGTATGGCCATTGAGCGTCTTGATAAGGGATCCAGTAGAGACATCCCAAAGGCGAAGAGTCTTGTCGTCAGAGGCGGACACAAGAAAACGAGAATCGGAGGAGAAAGCCAAGTCGGAGACACCCTGTTCATGGCCTTGGAATTCATGAAGTGGGGTCAGAGTAGAATTTGAGCAGGAGTAAGTGCGAAGGGTCTTATCGGCGGAGGAGGAGCCAAGAAGACGGCCATCCGCTGAGAATTTGACGGATGAGATCGCCCGCTTGTGGCCAGTTAGGGTTTGGGACAGAGTGTAAGGTTTATAGGAATCCGATTGAGATGGCTCCGAGGACATCCCTTCAATCTATCGCTGGAAAAGGAGATTCCAATGGTTCTAATATGTGGCTTTTGAAATTGAAGAACCCAACGGGAGAAAGCCGGAGATGGAGGCGAAGAGTCAAGGCCTCCGGCTCCAATGACAGCAGTACAGATCTCTACTATTTTCAGACCGCCCTAACGCGATGAACGATCTTCTTTCACAGCTCCACGCTTAATTTTGGCGGGGATATAATAAAACGGGAGATATTCTGTAAATCAAATTTGCTAAATTATATTAATTAATTAATTACTCCAGAATTTTACCCTCCTTATAAGTATATCTTATTTTTTAAAAATTTACAAATACTACTGATAACATTTTATAAACTTTATAAACTTTTCAAAATTATTATTAAAATAATTCAAAATTTTGAACTATAAGTTAGCACGAAATAATGTGATGATAATTAGATATTTTACATAAATTTTTCTTATAACATTCAATTATGTTTTCTACTCTAATTACACGCTTGAAACGTTTATAAAAGGTCAAAATAATATCGTGACTTCGATAATATATATGAGTAAGTACTTTTTAGATTAAAAAAAAAATCTTTTTAATATAGCCATCAAATTTCTAAATTATTGAACTTGAAAATGGGTTCCATTAAGGTTATGAAGCTCATCCCTCGGATTTTGATTCGCCCTCTCACAGCATTATTTCCTTTCAACTAAGCTCATAGTTCCCTTTTCAAGTCTACAAAGCTCTCACCCTTCATAAGCTGATGTTGTATAGAGCTCATCCCTGATTTAGTCCCTATGGAGCTTCATTAACTCTTTTTCCAACTGCAATTCTCTTCTCTTCTCTGTGTGCCCATGCCCTTAGTAAGACCATGATGCTTATATCGTTAATAAGATTGAGGCTCACAACCTTTGATGCCCCCTTGAGCTGATAAAATAAAAATTTAACAACTTACTTTACGATTCATAAAATGTCTCGCCATCCACAAATGGTATTTGCATCAAAATAGTATATACATATACAGGCAAACTAGCACCAGTGTTACATCTGGTTGTTAGCTATGTTGCCCCAAACCACTCTCCCCCTCCTATTGACTAATGGAAGAGGAAAAAGAATCTAAAGAGCCAATAACAAGTGACTTCATAAAAAATAAAAAATAAGTGTAGTGTCATCGGAAATCTTGGTCCGACAAAACAGAGGTCTAGCCTCTGTGATCAGGGTCAATAGATCAAAACCAAAGGGCCCTTACCCACTAGCAGAAAATGGGCAAAGCATGCGAGATCCAAGTGCTTGTTTTCATTAGCACAGTCTATGTTAAATAAAGCCATGTGAATGGGCTTGTGTGTCCTTTTCTTGTGTTGCTTAGTAAATTTCTAGTAATAGATGTTGCTATATCCCCTCCTCCACTATAATTTCTTAGTAAAAGATGTGACCTCAGTAATCCTGTCAGAGAACTAATTGCATTGTTCGAAGATACTATGCATCTCAGAATGAATGTGCTTGTACACAAGTCTGGAGCCACCCGAAGAAAAGAACTTGCGGTAAGCTCGTCAGATAGGCTCTCAATGAGTAAGAAGACTAATTCAAACTGATCTCTTGAGAAGAACGATCCAAAACAAGCTATCTATTTAAGATGAGTTTTGAAATATTAGTATGATAATTGCCTATATAACAGGACTCAAACTTACCTTCTGCCGCTCGCTAAATCGCTAACGACAGATGATGTTGATATGCAGCTCCCACCATGAGAAGCATGACTTGACATATCCAAAAACGACTTGTAAGGATCTCGCTTCTCAGGGGAACCAAAACACATGTTTGGCTTCCCATCAACACTCTTAACCCTTGAATATGCTGATGGTGAAGTCACAAGTTTTGGTTCCCTCCCTGCAAAAGAGAAACATGATAAATGCGATATAAATGATGATCTTGACAAACATCATGCTAAGAGAAACGTGAATATCCAGCATACAAGTACTCTATTCCAGAAGATGGGCCAACAGATGTAGGTCTACTCGAAGTGAGACTAGACGACTGCTTTTCAACAAGCGCCAGAGAAGGAGTCATTGTCCAGCCTTCAATTCTCAGACCCTGCTCGACTGCAAGGTGCGATATCTGTTTCTCGTCAAGTCCCTGTCCCATAAGCAGGTTCCATAAGTTTTTCAGACCTTCTCGTTGATGGTGAATGACTTGATCTCTCATTGCAATCTCTAACTGAAGCTCAGAGTTAGCCATTCCCTAAAAGATTTCTCAAAACGTTAGGTTCTGTAGAAAATCACAGAACCATAAAAACATAGACCATCTATATTATGAAGTTCATCAGATTTCTTCTTTTCTTCACAGATATTACCAGAACTCCTGTTCAATTTCTTCCCCCTCCCCGCCCCCAATATTTATATAAGTGACTGCATGCAACTGTAGCAGTGCCAAGTCATAAGATCATTTGCATTATATATGGTCCAGCTGTTAAGGATATTTAGTAATAAATTATAGTTTACCATATATATTATATTTGATATTTTATTATAAGGCAAATATCTAACATTTGCCTTATTACTATAGTATCTTTCCATTTATTGTTATTTCCATTTATTACTATTTCCATATCCTTGTAATTTATTTGATTATAAATAAGATAACTTTCACACCATTTAGGTGTGGTGGATTAATCAAACATTCACATGGTATCAGAGCCATTTTGGTTTAGCAACCTAGATTCTTTCTTTTCAATGGCTTTTGAAATCTTCTACTGTTCTTCTCCACCACCACTGTTGTCTTTGATGCCGCAGGGGCAGTCGTCATGGCTGTCACATGCAGAGTCGATTGATTATTCTTTGGCTCCACCTTTTTGACCTCCAAATCATCCTTCGCCATACTCTGTACATACAACCTCACCTTTTCCAAACATAGCCTCTTTCATTTTCTTCCCAATTTTTCCTTCATCCTTCACAAAAACCCTAATCTTAGGATCTTCATCAGCATTCCTCTTCGAAAATATACAGAATCTCAATAAGCCCATCGACCTTCTGCAGAGATTTACCTTTGGAATCTGGGCGCCGCACTGGCATCTTCGCCAACCAAGTTGCCACTGCCCTTCTCGCCAAAATTGGCTCCTTCGCCCCAATGTGGCGACTCTTCCAGCTGCCCTTCTCGCCAAAATTGGCTCATTCGCCCAATGTGGCGACTCTTCCGGCTTCAACATTGTCTTTGTCCCTTGCTCTAGGTTTCCCCTTCTACTTCTTGGGGTTAGACATATTCTCACCAGAGCCAAGTCAACATCGTCGCTAAGCGACAATCCCTCTTCATGGGTTAGACATATTCTCACCGAAGCCAAGGCAGCATCGCCGCTGAGCGGCGATCTCTCTGCAGTTTTCGATGGCCAAGAAAGTGTTTCTCTACGCCTCCTCTGAACCAGGTTGTTAACATCTTCACGAAAAGTGTTTCTCAACCTCTTTGAATTTTTCAGATTCAAGCTTCACGTTCGTTTAAATCCGACGCTTAGCTTGCGGTGGGGTGTTAAGGATATTTAGTAATAAATTATAGTTTACCATATATATTATATTTGATATTTTATTATAAGGCAAATATCTAACATTTGCCTTATTACTATAGGTATCTTTCCATTTATTGTTATTTCCATTTATTACTATTTCCATATCCTTGTAATTTATTTGATTATAAATAAGATAACTTTCACACCATTTAGGTGTGGTGGATTAAGCAAACATTCACATGGTATCAGAGCCATTTTGGTTTAGCAACCTAGATCCTTTCTTTTCAATGGCTTTTGAAATCTTCTACTGTTCTTCTCCACCACCACTGTTGTCTTTGATGCCGCAGGGGCAGTCGTCATGGCTGTCACATGCAGAGTCGATTGATTATTCTTCGGCTCCACCTTTTTGACCTCCAAATCATCCTTCGCCATACTCTGTACATACAACCTCACCTTTTCCAAACATAGCCTCTTTCATTTTCTTCCCAATTTTTCCCTTCATCATTCATCCTTCACAAAAACCCTAATCTTAGGATCTTCATCAGCATCCCTCTTCGAAAATATACAGAATCTCAATAAGCCCATCGACCTTCTGCAGAGATTTACCTTTGGAATCTTCGCGGCGCCCTGGCATCTTCGCCAACCAAGTTGCCACTGCCCTTCTCGCCAAAATTGGCTCCTTCGCCCCAATGTGGCGACTCTTCCAGCTGCCCTTCTCGCCAAAATTGGCTCATTCGCCCAATGTGGCGACTCTTCCGGCTTCAACATTGTCTTTGTCCCTTGCTCTAGGTTTCCCCTTCTACTTCTTGGGGTTAGACATATTCTCACCAGAGCCAAGTCAACATCGTCGCTAAACGACAATCCCTCTTCATGGGTTAGACATATTCTCACCGAAGCCAAGGCAGCATCGCTGCTGAGCGGCGATCTCTCTGCAGTTTTCGATGGCCAAGAAAGTGTTTCTCTACGCCTCCTTTGAACCAGGTTGTTAACATTTTTGCGAAAAGTGTTTCTCAACCTCTTTGAATTTTTCAGATTCAAGCTTCACGTTCGTTTAAATCCGACGCTTAGCTTGCGGTGGGGTGTTAAGGATATTTAGTAATAAATTATAGTTTACCATATATATTATATTTGATATTTTATTATAAGGCAAATATCTAACATTTGCCTTATTACTATAGTATCTTTCCATTTATTGTTATTTCCATTTATTACTATTTCCATATCCTTGTAATTTATTTGATTATAAATAAGATAACTTTCACACCATTTAGGTGTGGTGGATTAATCAAACATTCACACCAGCAAATCAATCCAGAATAAACTAACCAGCAGTCTATACTGACTAAGTATCCGCAAGTAGGTTTTATTCCCATTTCTACTAACGGCTTCATCAATCATGCCTTGAAGTTGACCCCGCTGCTTTTCATTGGCTTTAATTTCCTAAAGGAGTAGAATTTGTATTACGAGTGATATGGAATTCATATGGACACTAAAGGAGACTTAAGCATAGGCCTATACCTTCTGATAATTGATTCCTGCTTCATCATTTTCACGAATGTTATCTAAAATTACTAGACGTCGGGCAATCAAATCCTTTACGATTGCTCCATCCAATTCAACAGCCTGTGAGAGTGAAATAAGCGACAGTCACAAAACACTAAATCATGCTTTTTCTATCCTAATATTCAAAATCAATAGAGAAAACAGAAGAAAAAGTCGAAAAATAAAGATGGACCTGATGTCTTGAAATAATGTCATCAAGTCGTTGGAGTTCTGAGCGATTATTAAGGTTGGTTTCCTCAAGCTCAGACATAGCTTTCTGTAAGTTTATTCTTTCCTGAACGTTCTCACTTATTTCATGACTTGTGATATTCAACCAAGACAGCTCATCATCTGCAGCCTGTTCAGCAGGTTTACTACTGAGCTGGGACTCCTTTTCAGCCAGTTTCTTTTTCAGTTGACAAACCTCAGTCTGAAGAAATCAAATAATTAAAGATCAATACAAGGGTCAACAATCTTTAAATAATTAATTTAATTAACATAGCACCTGAAGACTATCAATCATCCGTTGGTAGTCTGATACATGGGTGTCTACTACTCCAACGTTTTTCTGGAAAACAGAAGATTTTGAGATCACATTAAAGTCATGCAACGGATATTTAAAAACATGACCTTGCAAATCACATCATGAAAAAATAAAATCATATGGTTGGAATTGAAAACGATGAAGAGTAAACTGTCGTGCTGCATGAAAAAGAAAAGAAAGAGCACTAATATAGATTGTGAGAGAATATAAGTTTTGTTCACAAATAAACTTAACCTGCCCCCACACCCAAGAATACAAGTTCGAATGTGACATATGAGCACTGAAAATCTGACCTGTACGTGTGTCTTAATTTCCTTTGCTCGGTCAGCATATTTCAATGTATTCACAGTGTGATGATACTGAATATCTGCAGGTGATATCGTAGCAATCATCACAGTCTGAGAATTACCACTTAAACCATCTTTCAAAATTCGTGTCAATTTACTGCAAAAATAAATCATAAGTAAACTATGAAAAACAGCTATAATGACCAGAAATGAAGTTTCAGACTTCAGTTTTTTTCAGATAAGAAGTTTGACGGTATAAAGAAACTGACAAAAATACCTGTTACGGTAAGGGACATAAGCAAGACCTTTTTTCTGTTGTTTTCCCAACGCATTTATGCAGTTTGCTAAAGCAAGAAGTGAACGATTAATGTTAGCTCCATCTCGCAATTTTTGGCCAGCATTATTTGTCTCAGTAGCGCGTTCACTACCAGCAAGATCTACAAGTGCAAGTTTCCCATGCAAGACCTGATTTGGATATTTGTTTCTTCCCTTTCTTTTCACACTAATCTCCAAAACTGCATGTGATCTATTTATGTGATTATTATTCAATTATGTCGGGCAGTACGCTTATGTTGCATGAGGCAAAAAAAAAAAAATGTCAAACACTAACTGAGAGGAGTGACAAGTAAACTTAACTGATCTACGGTTATGCCAATTGCTATAAACGCATAGACTTTGAGTAACATAATTGTTGAGATATATTATTTATAGAATATATCTTAGATATTATATCTTAATATTCTTCCATTTATGATTAGATTTATAGTATATTTTATTTTATTCTCAGTATTTAATTATTTTATATTTTCCTTATTTGTACTAGCTTGTATCCTATTTAAAGGATATCAATATCAATGATAATACAGACCTTCCCAATTATATTTTCTATCTTATTCTTAACATGGTATCAGAGCACCGATCTTGATATTCCTAATATCAAAGCACCGATCGTGGTATTCCTAATACCCCTTGGACTCTGAGTCCAAGGGGAGTATTAAACCTAAAGCCAAACCCTAACCAATCAGTGAAGTCTTTACCATCGTCAATCATCCAATATCAAGAATACGTTATAAGCATCTTCAAATTTCTCACCAAGCTCTAAGGTGACATATTCAAGATGTTCGTATTTCTTTCACAGCCTCTCAAGTGATCCAAAGCATCGATCTTGGTGTCATTATCCACTAAAGCATTTATGCATGGACCAACAAGTGATCAGGGAGGATATTCACTTGTTCCAAATCAAATTAAATGGACAAGTTATCAATCCTCGAGTCAATCATTGCGGTCTATTTCTAAAGCATTTATGCATGGACCGAAAAGTGATCAGGGAGGATATTCACTTGTTCCAAATCAAATTAAATGGGACAAGTTACCAATCCTCGAGTCAATCATTGCGGTCTATTTCTGAGTCTTGCATCTTTCTTGAAAATTCAATAATTTCTTGAAAGTCTAAAAATGCAAACCAATCAAAGGCGGTCTATTTTTTGACAGATATTTTCATTACTGGGAAGACAAGAGTGAAAGACAACTTGGGTGTTATTGACCTACCGTAAAGACAAGTTAAAGACAAGTTGGACGTGATTAACATACACTCTCCAACTTGAGGGGGAGTGTTGAGATATATTATTTATGGAATATATCTTAGATATTATATCTTAATATTCTTTCATTTATGATTAGATTTATAGTATATTTTATTTTATTTAGTATTTAATTATTTTATATTTTCCTCATTTGTACTGGCTTGTATCTTATTTAAAGGATATCAATATCAATGATAATACACATCTTCCCAATTCTATTTTCTATCTCATTCTTAACAAATCCACTACTCTAACCGTTCGTCATTTGCCTTTGCCAACAGCCACGTCCTACTGCGTTGTTTGCTTCATGCCATTCTTGTCGCGTTCTGTTCCTCAGGTTGCAGTGAAATGCCGTCCTCTAAGACAAAGAGCGTGGCCGTGATATTGTCCAAGTTATTGAAAGCAAGGTTACCTCAACTAATTGCGGTTTGAAAATTTTCTTTTATTGTCATTTTTGTGAACCAAATTATTGCTGAAATTTGGCATGCTGAAAATTATAGGAGGTGCTTATACTGGATCCTGACCTGTCCAAGGATTACCTCGACCGCATTCGGAATCGAACGAAGGAAAAGAAATATTGTTTCGACCATGCATTCGGTCCAGATAGTACTAATCTGGTGCGTATAACTTATCTCCAATTTCGTTTTGTGTGTCCGATTACATGTCGAGTAATTGAGATAGCGCATTGCCGGAACTTGACAATTGGATTGATGGCTGTGAGGTGATTACCAAATTGAATTAAATTGGACAATTTCTCCATAGTGCTCAAAATAGGCCATAATCGTTCATCATTCTGGGCACTTTGGGGCCAGACAAATCGTTTATTTTTACTTCCTCTAAATTCTTTCCGTTCCCAGAGTTTCCATATGATCTACATTTTATGAACAGAAAAAATGTGAAAGATTCCATTATCAGCGAGTGTATTATATTGAAGGCAAGGTGTCTTGTTGTAAGGTTTTTTTTTACTAGTTTAAAATGTTTATGCAGGTATTTCTTTGTTTCTGACAACCCTCATTATTGACTTGCTACGGTATTATGATGTAGTATCACTTTGCTTCTCATCACCTTGCAAGAATGAACTTCAAATACTGATGGGCTGATGTTTTTAGCATGTTTCTAATTATTTTCTAATCCCCGTGTTTTCAGGAAGTCTACACAAAAAGTATATCTTCCATAATTCCTGAAGTTGTTCAAGGTCTGAACGTGACTGTTTTTGCCTATGGTTCAACTGGAAGGTATTAAAGAGGTGTTTTCTTGCTCTCAAGTTATCTCCATCTTTGCTTTAGAGGAGTTGCACCTTGCGTGCTGTTTAAACCATGCAACTAAATTCATGAGCGTTGGGCAATTTTTATTCTGTATAGTATAAATGGGAACCACACAATGTAGAACTGGAAAGCACTGAACTTTTCCTTTTGTTCTCTGTACCCAAATCTACACTAATCATGCTCAAATTTCCTTTACAAATATTAGCGGTAAAACGTACACAATGGTTGGGACCAAAGATGATCCTGGACTCATGGTGCTCAGTTTGCATACTGTATTCGATCTTATAAAACAGGACAAGCGGGCCGATGAGTTTGAAGTTACTTGCTCATATCTTGAAGTCTATAATGAAGTATGCTCACCTTGCTTTTTCTTTGGCAATTGTACATGTGGATTATCTTTCGTTTTACAGAAACATTAATTTCATCTTTTAAAACTTTTTTCAGATAATCTACGATTTGCTTGAAAAATCATCTGGTCATTTAGAACTTAGAGAGGATCCCGAGGAAGGAATAACTGTTGCTGGGCTTAGGTGTATCAAGGTTTTTTTTTCCTTCTTGTATTATTAGATCCTTGAAATCAGTATGTGGTGGTACACAATGATTTTCATTCATCAATGAAAAGTTGCATTTTATTAAACACATCGTGTCAGAAAATTCGATAGCCTTTCAACTTGTTCATTGTGGTGGAAGTTGATGATGAAACCTTTATAGCTTCTTAAATCTTAATAATGATGGTTTGGTTTTTGAGCTTCTAACTTATAATCCAACTGGCGCAAGGTCTTTATGTAGATTGTTGCTTAAGTACATGGTGAAGCTTCTTTCCAAAGTGAGAAGGCCTTTAGAGGCCAAAATACAAGAGGAACCTTAATCTTCACTTTTTCTGCATTAGTTGGCTGTTACGTGCTACTAGTAGTTTATGATTTGGTGCTTCAATCCATATTCCTTCAAGTCTCTCTGAATTTTTTCTTTCAGTTAAATTATTGACTTCTCTTTCCAGTAGGAACTGTTAAACAATTGTGAAGGTTTTAAATAAACTTCAATTACCTGGTCTCATTTTGGATCCCTGCATCACCCTTCTTTTCTGGGCCTACAGAAAGAGACCCTTCTAAATCTTCTTTAAACTGCATTTTGTCAAAAAGTTTCACGGTTGTTTTTCCTTTCTATTTTATTTTTACTCCAGAAACAAATGCCCACAGTTTTGGGTTTACTTCAGGTTCATTCTGCGGGTAAAATTCTTGAACTTTTGAACATGGGTAATAGTCGGAGGAAAACCGAGAGCACAGAGGTAAATGCTACCTCATCAAGGTATGTTTTCCATAGTTGTCATAGGCGAAGGGTTCTGATACTAGAATATCTCATTTTCTCTTTGGGTTTTGTATTTTATGTTTGCTAATGGCTCAAGTTCGTTCAACCTGCATAACAGTATCTAGGCATTCGGGTTTTCAGTCTTTCTTCTTTGAATATAAGTCTCTTTAACAATTCGTAACTAATCACTAGTTGCCAAGGGCTTTATTGGTTCATCCATTATTGTTAAGAATAAGATAGAAAATATAATTGGGAAGGTCTGTATTATCATTGATATTGATATCCTTTAAATAGGATACAAGCTAGTACAAATAAGGAAAATATAAAATAATTAAATACTGAGAATAAAATAAAATATACTATAAATCTAATCATAAATGAAAGAATATTAAGATATAATATCTAAGATATATTCTATAAATAATATATCTCAACACTCCCCCTCAAGTTGGAGAGTGTATGTTAATCACGTCCAACTTGTCTTTAACTTGTCTTGACGGTAGGTCAATAACACCCAAGTTGTCTTTCACTCTTGTCTTCCCAGTAATGAAAATATCTGTCAAAAAATAGACCGCCGTTTGCATTTTTAGACTTTCAAGAAATTATTGAATTTTCAAGAAAGATGCAAGACTCAGAAGTAGGCCGCCTTTGATCTGTTTACATTTTTAGACTTTCAAGAAATTATTGAATTTTCAAGAAAGATGCAAGACTCAGAAATAGACCGCAATGATTGACTCGAGGATTGGTAACTTGTCCCATTTAATTTGATTTGGAACAAGTGAATATCCTCCCTGATCACTTGTTGGTCCATGCATAAATGCTTTAGTGGATAATGACACCAAGATCGATGCTTTGGATCACTTGAGAGGCTGTGAAAGAAAATACGAACATCTTGAATATGTCACCTTAGAGCTTGGTGAGAAATTTGAAGATGCTTATAACGTATTCTTGATATTGGATGATTGACGATGGTAAAGACTTCACTGATTGGTTAGGGTTTGGCTTTAGGTTTAATACTCCCCTTGGACTCAGAGTCCAAGGGGGTATTAGGAATACCACGATCGGTGCTTTGATATTAGAAATATCAAGATCGGTGCTCTGATACCATGTTAAGAATGAGATAGAAAATAGAATTGGGAAGATGTGTATTATCATTGATATTGATATCCTTTGGATACAAGCCAGTACAAATGAGGAAAATATAAAATAATTAAATACTAAATAAAATAAAATATACTATAAATCTAATCATAAATGAAAGAATATTAAAATATAATATCTAAGATATATTCCATAAATAATATATCTCAACAGGATTTCTTCGCTCCGGGTGCTCTCTGATGCTCGGCATTTTTAGCAGACATTGATTTCCACAACACTCGAGAAACAA